GTGTAACGCGTGTACACAGTGGACAGCACAATGGTGGGGCCTGATGTGTTTGGGGCCTGAGTACCACTGGAGCGCAGCCTGGCAGCACTTCAGCATGATATCTTATATGGTCAAGGCAACAGACACGTACGATGCTATTGCCGCCTCGACCTCTGTAACGCGTAGTCACGTGGGGTATTCCCAGCATTATTCATGGCCGACGTGTAAATGATCGCCCTCAGCGCTGTGCTGCGCTCTGTCCAACTGAGCTACACCATCTTTCCGGGAATTGGCACTGGGATTGTGCGCACTCAGCATATAAGCTGTTGCTCAGGAAGGCAGATGTTGCATGAGAGGTGTGCATGGAAGGGTGATATTATCACGAGGAAAGGTTAGTCTGGGAAATTCTCGTTACAAGGAATGCAATAAACTGCACAACCTCTGTTATCAGTATAGTGCAGTGAAAAACATGCATTCGTCTCAGATACATCGTCCCAAGATTTCAATGGTCATATTTCTTACGAGGCCACTCCCTAGCCCCAGAGCTGGCCTCCGAATTGCTACAAGCGGTAGGACGGAAAACCACAAAAAACGCGGCCCTCGCGCACGGGAGATAGCAAGGCAGGAGTCGAACCCACGACCTCAGCTTGCGCTACGCTCTGACCATCTGAGCTACGGACTACACCGCGTGCGCCAAAGCCGCGTACAAGTGGAGTGCGCAACATCGTAAGTATTCATTGTGTGCTGTGTGACGTACAAAAACCTTGGTGAAAATTGTGGGAATAGACGCAAAAGAAAAGGCAGTGCCGCGTCGGGCCGTGCTTAGGCAGGGATTGAACCGGCGCCCTCAGCGGATACCCGCCACGCTCTTACCACTGAGCTACTATAGTAGCGCGACGCGGCACTGCACTAGATTATCGCGCCGATACTATATAAAGTGCTCCTGCAAATTCAATTATGAGATCTAGCTAACCTACCACGCATTCGCGCCGGAGTCACACCCAGGCTTGCCGTATAAAAAGAAAGAGAGGCTACAACCAGGCAGGTATTGAACCCGCGCCCTCAGCGTGCAGCTACGCTTTGACCAACTGAGCTACTAAGGCTGGCAGGCAGCGCTGCAAATTCGAGGTTCCTATTATGCTCCCAGAGCATCGTACCCATCTCAAGCAGCCTATACGCATCCATTTTATCGCTGCTTTGGCCACTTGATTGCATAAAATGGCGACTATGGGGTTACTCGCGGGCGAAGAGAACGCCGATAGCGTTTTCCTGATCAGGCCAAACATATGCCAAATGAGGAAGTCTCTCCTAAGTCCCCCGCGATCAAAAGCGTTGTGGCGTCATTGGCGCTTACAGCCTTGCCTCCGACCATCTCGCCCGCGCACGCGACATGTCTCCAGACTCTTCCTCCATCGCCCCTCTGACAAGCACCGACGCGAGCATGCGCACACGGTCGATCGCGATGTTGGACGAGCTGCGGTGACAGAAGTTGAACATCGCAGGAAGCATCCCGAAATGGAACAAATTGCGCGCAAGATCCACCTCCTCCGTACGGTCGTCCCGCCCTCGCTGCCCGCTGTGCCGCATCGCCTCGTCGTCGTGCCCGCCAGCGCGGATGCCGGATGCCGCGTTGATGTGCTGACGTGTCATCGCGCAGGACCACAAACACGATGTGCTCGACGCTACCGCGGACGTCCAGATGAGCCCGAGCAGCGCATGGAGGCTGGAGACATTTGACAAGGCTAATTGCATTGTATGACGTGGCGCTCGATCATCTCTGCCTGCAGCGCGGAAGTGCTGTTTGCGTTGTGCGAATGATGCGGACTCGCCCCAGACGGATGGAGATTGTCCCATGTATGTCGCCTTCTAGCCCTGCTCCTCGACGCTGCTCTCCCCCAACTCCTTTCCTCGACCCTTTGTTTACGGGTAGCTCGAGTTCGCCGCCCCCATCGCTCTCGTCGCTGGACCGCACAGCTGCACGCAATGACTTTTGCCGACTTGCGTGCGCTGCACGCCATCATCGGATCCGCCATCGACGACATTGAACGCATATATCGTCCCCCATCCACAGACCGGCGCGCATCGCAGTCCTCCGCTTCCTCGAGCTTCCGCAGCTCTTCCTCGTCGAACTTCCAGGCGCGGTCTCCCTCAAAACCACGTTCATCGTTGTCCACCGATTCCGATATCGAAGAAGAGGACGATGACGATGCCGATGCCGACATGCCGCTCACGCCTGTGAGCGCATCAAACAGCCAGCCAGGACCCAACAACGTTCGTTTTGCGTCCACGGGGCGTAAGGGTCTCGTGAAGGGTCGCGAGCGGTCGTACACTATGGGCTCTCTACCTCAACCGCCGTTCAGCCCACCAGGAGTCAATGCGAGTGTCCCTCTGCCGATCCTCAAGCAGCCCGCACTCGACTTTCCGGACCTCGACACGCCCATACCCATTACACCCACCTCGAGTTCATCTGACACATCCGCACCGATGAGCACCTCTACGCCGTCGAACGTTTCGTCGTCTCCCAAGATACCTATCTCGCCGACGCTCACTGTCGAGCTCGAAAAGGTCGGTGCCGGTGCATCCACGCTACTCGACCCCACGCAGAGGCAGCGCGAGTGGCGAAAGAAGTGCGAAGACCTCACGACGCACCCCGAAGTCATCAAGGCTGTCAATCGGATAGTCGCAGCATGTGGTCAGATGAGCGCTATGGTACAGAAGCCCTTCTTGGTTGTGTGCGATGCCGCTATGGGAGTACGTATCACTCCTCTGCGCCATATATCAGCCTGCTTACTGGAACAACGACAGTACAACCTTCCCGCGTGCCTCAGATTTCTTGAGGCGGCGCATATGTCGGAAATGCTTAGAGAAGTGGGTCCAAGAGGTTTATCCTCGAGGGAGATTGCAGAGAAGATCCAAGCGCAGCTCGGAGCCTCTGGAGAGGGCAAGGGATTCAATGGCGAGAAGACAGTCGTTGATTCGACGAGAATCAGTCCGTGTTCCTGTCTCAGCTAGAGGATGTCGTCCTTAATTTTGCCTCCAGGTCACGTTCTCCGTCTACTCGCCACTCACCACATTACCCGTGAAGTTCGCCCAGATGTTTTCGCCAACAACCGCATAAGCAGCGTGATTGACAGTGGAAAGTCGTGGCAAGAGTTGGTCGACATGAAGCAGAGGTGCGTTCGACGCGTCTATGCCCTATCAACCTCACTCATCTTATCATGCCCGGGTAGTCCTGAGCGCAAGTATGAAGGGACAGATGGTATCGCTGCTTTCGTTGGTCTGTGGTACGTCAAAATAACCGTATGTATGCGCTCGTACTAAACATCAATCGTGTCTACGCTAGCACGGACGAGCTATTCAAGGCGTCGGCGTATCTCGCTGACTGTTACCTGCTCCCTCCGAGCTCTCCGTCTTCCCCTCCTACGCCCTCGTCTTCACCTCAGTCGCCCCCTCTCCAACCTCATTCCTGTTCTCCCCAGTCTCCAGCTCCTACAACAACAACACCCATCGTGGTCCCGCCACACCCGCGGCCGTCAATGTCCGCCCCCGCTGGCGACGTCAGCCATCTCGGTATGGTCACACCGAACGATTCAACGTCTTCCCTTGGCAGTGTCGTCGAGGAGGAACGACGCGGAACTGAAGATGGAAGCAGTCCTATGCGCTTCGCGCAGAATCCCCATCCAACGCCTGCTCAGAACAGACAGAGGAAAAAGTCATCTGGCTGGAGCTTCAGCAATAGCAACGATACACCCCGTAGACCGGCGACCCCACCCACCCCACAGTCGCTGCCGAATGCTCACAAGAAGCCTGGGATTCTCAAGAGACTATCTTCTCGAACGTTTTCGCGTACCCCAACACCGACGACGACGCCAAGTGACGCCCCACCTCTGCCGTCCATGCCAGGAACACCCCGCTCTGCTGCATTCGAAGCACCCGAGACACCCCGTTCGCGCACATCCTCTACAACGTCTCTCATCGGCCAGAGACTTGTAAGTATCCCAGCCTCACCGGATACACTCCGATCCCCAGCAACATCCGGCCACGCATATACGTTCAGCGACTTGCTCAAGACACCGAAGTCTGCACCACGCCATGCGAAGATGCCAAGTCAAGATTTGAACATGCTCAATACTCCACGCTCGACGCCAAGCCGGCAGTCGTCTCACTCGGAGTCGAACGTCGCGCCCGCGACGCCGAAGTGGACGCCGAGCCGAGAGTCGCTGCGCGCTCTGGGTACCAAGGGCTCGTTTGCAAGCCTCAAGACGGGCAAGCGGGGCGCAGAGCCGCTGCACCAGACGTATGCAGAGCTCCTCGACGCCGCGGGCGACGGCAACGGGCTCTTGGGCCCTGCGTTCGACCTCCGGCCGTCTGTCCTCGCTGTGTCTCCTCGCGCACAGACGTTCTCCGGCAGTGCCTCGTCGCCGCTGTCGAGGAAAGACGACCCGCTACCGCCTGTCCCACCTCTGCACATTTCCAGTGCTCCGCCGCCTGTCCCGCCCAAATCACCGCTGCGGAGCCCGTCGGACTCTGGTGCGGGCTCACCGGGCGCTCTCCAGGCGAACACGGACGGCCGGAAAGCGAGGCGAGGCAGGGCGGCGTCGAGCGGGCTGCAGCCGGGCGACGAGATGTATGCGCCGTTCAACATCGCGTTTGGCACGCGTCTGCGGTACTTTGAGTGGCTCGAACGCGGCGAGAACGTGTTCCGGCTCCGGCGGTTCGGGAAGGCGATGACGGGGACGGAGAAGTGGGAGGTGCCGGGGAGCATTGTCGGCGGTGAGTTTTTCGCTCTCTGCGTTTGTCTCGTGGCGGCGGGCGTGTATGTGTGCGGGCGTGGCTCATGTGGTGTTTTCGCGGCGCAGGGTTCCCGTGGCACGAGCTCCCGCCGCGATCGGTCGTCGTGGACGTCGGAGGCGGAATAGGGTCGACGTCGATGCTCCTCGCGAATGCCTTCCCTCACCTGAGGTTTGTCATTCAGGATCGGCCACCGGTCGTTGAGATGGGCACTGCCGTGAGTTGGCTTCTCCTTTCTGCCCGTTTTATGATTCTCATTGGCGCTCTGCAGGCTTGGCGCAGCAGGTACCCAGAGCTTCTCGATTCGGGGCGCGCGACGTTCCAGGCACACGACTTTTTCAAGCCTCAGCCTGCACTCCCTTTGGCTATCTTGGCTAGTGAAGGCCAGAGCGACTCAATGACGGAGTCGAACACGAAGGCCCCGGACGCTGGAGACGTGGAGGTCAGGCCTGCGGTCTTCCTGATGCGGGTTATTACGCATGACTGGCCGGACAGCTACATTATTCGGTAAGTACCATGTTTAGCTTGACTGTACACTCATTGACGATGTTTGGGGCTATGTGCAGGATTCTGCTTCGCCTCCGGCAAGCCGCAGGCCCGAACACTCGGCTTCTGCTCGCGGACTACGTCCTCCCGCTCGCGTGTGTGGATGAAGACGAAGACGGCGGAGCTGAGACCCCAGACAGCGTCAGCACGAGCGAGAAGGTCACGTACGAGCCGCTCCCTGGTGCGGCGCGCACCCTTGCGCCCGAGGGCTCGCCGCTGCTGCCGAATCTGGGCAAGGCAAACGCGAACGCATATTGGTTGGACTTGACGGTAGGCCATCTGCGCCCGTGCCTTTGAAATTTTTGTGCTGATGACCATCGTGAAACTGGTAGATGCGGGCGATGTTCAACGCGCAGGAGCGCACGCTGCGCGAGCTTGCGGCGCTCGCGCGCGCGGCGGGATGGAAAGTTGTGCAGGTGACGCACGCCGAGGGCTCGCTCTTTGGGCACATCACCGCCATGCCGGTCGACATACCTGAGGAGACCTTGGCGTTGCCGGACGAGAGCGAGAGCGAGGAGTCTACTGGACCTGGTGAGCCTCTCTTCCTTGTTTTTCTTGCACACAGGTTCTATGACGGTGCTGACATAGCAGAAACAGATGAGGGAGCGAGTGCAGCACCAGACGCGCTGCCATCATTACCGCCAATGGGCGACACCTTTCTGTCGAGCGTCGAGCTCCCGAGCGAGACTGCCATCCGAGCGGGTGTTGCGAGTGGTTCTGGACGTCTGCGCGGTGCGCGTGGTGACGCGGAAGGCAAGAAGGGCGCGGGGAGGCGCAGGGCGCGCGCGTACACGTTCACCGGGCGGGATAGCAGAGACAGGGACCGCAGAGACGAGGGCAGGGATGCGAGCGAGAGAGGTGCAGGTGGGGAGGTGCGCAAGGGCTTGCGGACGATCATGAAGATGTTATCGAAGGCGCACCTGCGGGGCGACGTTCCACCCGAGGAAGGCGAGCGCGAGGAGAATGCAGGACCGCTGGCGCTTTCGAGGCAGAGGACGAGGACATAGACATCGGTTCTTCTTACTTGCCGGGCGTTGTTTCTGTGGACGCTCTATCGTGGTTTGGAGCGTTATCTGTAGCTCTCGTGTTGCTTGTATTCATGCATCTCTTGTAGAGAATATTATTGCTCTTGCGTTCTAGATCTGGATGTGTTGGCGGTTATGTTGATGTGCCGTCTTACCCTCGAAGTGCACCTGGCGTTCACATCCCGGCAAGGTTGCGGCTGTCGAGCAAGCCGACGTGCCCCGATATGGGCTCCTCTAGACGCACTGAATGATAGAACAATCACGGAAAAGGGGAAGATGCAGCATTTGACATAATGCCTTCAGTGTGGTTCGGGTAGTGAGGCTTGCGAACGGCAGAGGTACCGGGTCTCGAGCCCTTGGGACTCTACAATCTGACAGGCGTACCAATGTAAACCTTTAATTTGAGCATTCCCTTCCCTAAGATGCAACAAGAACAAGCATATGTACT